GCACTTTATTTTCTAATGGCAAGTAGAAGGAGGAAGAATGCACATCTTCAAAGGAAACTGGCTGTCTGTTATTTGTTAGGCGAGACTCTGAGGTGACTTCAGAGACAATGGGTCCAGCGCCCCGTAATTAAGAGGGAAGGCCAGCCCCTGCCAGTCTGACTCAGAAGGCTTACTGAGTCATCCTGTTTGTCCTCTCTGCTGCTATTTATGGGCTTCCCAGTTGCTGATATTTGTTGGTTAAAGGCTCACACAACCCGTCTTGCCTAAAGCAGTGTCGCTTAAGGGGTGTTGAGAATAAATAGGGTGACAGGTGTTGTGGGAGAGTCATTTTTTTAAGAATCTTTCATAGCTGAGTCTTTTTTAAAGCTCTCTATGCTTAAAATACAACTATCCTGAAAGAAAATGAAGGCAGAGTCCGTTTCTGGACAGAGCTGCTGAATGCTAAGACTTTCTGGGGGGTGCTGGCTTTGGCAGAGGGGCAGGTCGGCATCAGCGAAGCTGTTGATGAGGACAGCTCAGGAAATCAGGGGAACGAGACAGTGAGAGGAAAAGACTGGAATGCTGTCACTGAGGCAACTTAGGCATGTTTATCACCAGGAAGAGACAACAGTGACAACAGAACCCTCGTAGGCCATGATAGTCTGAGTCTGGTGGGGGACAGATGGCTCATGCAGATGGAGTGACCAGAGAAAGATGAATGCAGGGACTCTACCAAGGTGTGGGCAGGCTTAAGGGAAGCACGCTGGAGCTAGCGACTGCAGGGACCCATCAGCACCCCCAGAGGTAAGGGGTGGGGGCAGCCACGGGATCCCAGAGGGAGCTACCCCTTTGGGTCTTTGGGTAGATGAAAACAGCCACAGGGAGAGAGCTGGGCAATGAATAACCCACCCTGTTTTCTCTCAGTCTCTTATCTCCTGCTGATGACCCCATTGGCCAAATTCCCAAATAAGACACAGACCCATGGAACCCGTATGATGCAACCCATGAAGGTCAGTGTCCTGGGCCACCAGGCAGGCTGGACAGCGGTGGAGAGAGGACCTGGAGGACTCAACACCAAACATCTTCATACAGGGAAGAGGGTTAGGACCACATTTTGTTGAAGTCTGATTTCTTTAGTTTATATTAATAGTCAAGATATTCAGTGCAGAGGAAAGCAGAGCCAAATGATGGAGAAGACCTGAGTCTTGATGACAATGTTCGTGACCCTGGATCCAACCCTGCCTGAAGCTATATCCCCCTGGACTTTTCAGTTATGTGAACCGATAAATAACCTCTTTTACTTTAGGTTAAAAAATAGTAAAAATATTAATTCAATAATTAAAATATTAACTTGAAATGTATTAAACATGTAGTTTAAACTTCATTGATCCCTTGGTCCTTGAAAATTCTGAAGTGCCTTTTTAGAAGGATGCATCTCTCCCCAAACCCCTACTGAAAACCACACTTAAGAAACAAGGCAAGGGAGGGCGCCTGGGTGGCTCAGTTGGTTAAGCAACTGCCTTCGGCTCAGGTCATGATCCTGGAGCCCCTGGATCGAGTCCCGCATCAGGCTCCCTGCTTGGCAGGGAGTCGGCTTCTCCCTCTGACCCTTCCCCCTCTCATGTGCTTGCTCTCTCTCATTCTCTCTCAAATAAATAAAAAAATCTTTAAAAAAAAAAAAAAAAACAAAAAACAAAACACCAAGCTTATCGAAGCTTTAAATTCATTAAAAAAAAAAAAAAAGAAACAAGGCAAGGGAAGGTTGTGTTAAAGTTGAGATGTACAGAAAGCTTCATTAAAAAGCCACCGAATAGTTGAAGAGAGGGCCCCAATTTGCAACTAGATTTAATATTTTCATATTTTCTCAGTTTGCACAGAGATTTAGCTTAAAACTTTCCATTACTTCATTCAACAAACATGTACTGTACTCCAGCCTTGTGACTGCAAAATGGCCTATCCTGATCTGTCTCCTTCTGACAGCCCAGTGCCTCCTGGGACCCCAGCCACCATGAGTAAGACTGATGACAGGTGGTGAGAAAAAGCCTCTGAGGAGGTGACATCTGAGCAGACATGTAAAAGAAATGAGGAAGGAGCCAGCCATGAAGCTCTGAGGCAAGAGCAGTGGGAAGAGCAAGCTCACAGATCTGAAGGTTTACTTGAAGAACAGCAAGGGGGGAGGGCCAAGGATGCATGTGGGAGAGCCACCAGAAGGGCTGGTTGGGCACCCGTTCATATAGGGCCTTGTAGGCCATGATAACAAGTTTGTATTTTATTCTGATGGTGATAGGTAATAAATTAGAAGGTTCTGAGCAGGTGAGTGAGATGATAGAATTTATTTTCTAAAAGATCGCTCTAGTTGCTATGTGGAGAGTTGATTCTGGGGGAAATGAAGGAAGGAAACTGGTTAGAAAACTATTGCGATCGTGTTGCTCAGGGATGCTGGTGGCCTGGAGAGGGGGACAGAGGGCAGCTCAGTGTTTGAGAGTTCCAGCCAAGTGCTTGACATGGATACACCTTATATGGATACTCATATGTGTGGAGTTTTTTGCTTTTGTTTGCTTTTAAGATTTACTTATTTATTTGAAACAAAGAGAGAGGAGCAGAACCGGAGGAAGCAGAGAGGGAAGGAGCAGGGGGGAAGGAGCAAAGGGGGAGGGAGAGGGACAAGCAGGCGCCATGCAGAGTGCGGAGCCCTTCCTGGGACTCGATCTCACGACCCTGAGATCATGACCTGAGCCAAAATCAAGAGTCTGACGCTTAATGGATGGAGCCACCCAGGAGCCCCCCAGGAGCCCCCACACTTGTGTTTTTAATCAAGGATGACTTAATTTTTTAAATAATGGTTTTCTTTTGTGGAAGGAGTTCAGGGAACTTGCACCATTTAAGAAGCACTTATTACTGCTGTGGAACTTTTCTTGTCTCAAATTCACTCAGGAAACTTACTAAAAAGACAGATTTCCCAATCTCCTACTCTTCTGATTCTACCAAGCCTACAAATTTGCATTTTGTGACCCAGACTTTGAGAATTACCAGTTAAGAATTTAGCAGCATCCCCTAGTGGTGGCTATTGGAAATTGCAGAGGTAACAAATTTAAAGTACGGCACTTTGAACTCTTCATATATATATTTGTTACAGGCAAAGTAACAATCTTTTATGCTCATCCTAGAGATAATTTCATGAGAGTAACCAAATGGGGTGGAGACTCCTTCAATGATTACCTGGGGAGAACTCTCAGGCATATTAAGATAAAAAATAATTGAAACTTTGTAAGTAGTAATTAATTGGCTATTATGAAGTCAGACAGCAGTAATGGCTCTGAACCCACAGCCCAGCTGATTATTAGAGTTCTGTAAGATTAGAGTAATTGGAACTGTGGAGGTAAAATAAAAAGGGTGGCACTTTCCAAAAGTTATAAAAAGCCAGCACTCACTGAGGCAACAGAGCTTACACCAGCCATGGAAGGGTAGCAGTACCATCCATCCCCAGGGGAACGTATTTCTTTTAACCACTGCTCCAACTAGGCATGAGTCACTTCTTGTTGAGAATTTTGCTAGTTTGTCATTTTGGATTGGAAATTGCTCCTCTCTTGCCCAGCCAACACTAGCCTACCTGGTCACTGCTGCATCTTTGCTTGTCGGCTCAGAGACCTACCTGTCTTCCCTGGACAGTCCAGAGAGTGGGACAGAAGGCAGCCCCGTGGCTGAGAGTTCCAGCCACCTGAGGAAATATTTCAAAGGGAAGTCTGCATGGGAGTGCTGTCTCAACAGTCATGTTGGCTGGAAGAAACTTCCAGCTTCAGAGTTTCTTTGTTGGTTTGTTCCGTTGTTTCTTTGTAATGGTTATTCTCAGAATTCTCCATGCCTATTCACCCCGCATTTCCAACCCCCGTCCCATGTTTTCTCTACTTCAACACAGGCTCATATTTAAATTAGAAGATCTTTTAGTATACATTTCTCACATTCTAGACAAGGCAACTGAGATGCGAGCAGAATGACTTCTCCAAGGCTAAAGGGGAGCTAGAGTCCAGGACCACTCCTGGTGGCCCCATAGAGCTCACAGGCCAGTGGGACCTGGGACCAAACAACCCCTCAACATCTGCTTGGCTTGTCCTTCCTCCACCCCTACACACGCTCCCTCACATCTGCGCACACACACATACACACAGAATCTCTCTTAGTTTTCTTCTTTCTGCCAACCCCTTTCCCCCTTTCCCATCTGGCCAGCCAGAAAAATATGAACATCTAGGGAAATCAAACCTCTCCTTTAAAAAAAAATTCTTTATTTGAAAAATGACAAACCCAAATGAAGCCTCAGGTTTTTAACCTTCACCAACTAAATTATGCGGTGTTTACTTGTGTTACGTCATCTTGATTTATTTTTGTGGGTCAAGCCTCTAAAAATAAATAAATGAATAAAAGGTTTATTTGTTACAATCCAAAGGAGAAGAACCTGAACAAGGAAATAGGAAACAAAAGGAAAGGTGAGCCGAAAGATTGCATAACTAATTAAGGGAACACAATACAAATCGGGGCATGCCCACATGTATTTTTCCATTTAGAAACAAACCTAATGACAGTGGCATGTTCTTTTATTTTTTTCCTCAAGACTTGCGTGCCCAGCTCAGAGTGCATCTGGAGGAAGGGCCTGCCCCCTAGTGGTGCCTACGGAAATGTGCAGGTACATGTGCCCAACGCAGGGCTGAGGTAGCCCAAGAATACGTGCTTGACAAAATTGTATTAGAAGGAATGCTTCTGCTGCTTTCCAGTAAATACAGCAGGTGGAGACACACACTGGAAAACTGGAACACGGACAGCCTTGTTTCCATTTGGTTGTTAGAAGATTGCTAGGCGCCCAGTTAGTGAAACTTAAGTTTGACCATAATTTATTTGTGATGCTTCCTATGTCCTGCTTGTTTTTAACTCTTGAAAACTGTTAAGATCTGGAGATTTTAAGCAAATGCCATCTTCACATCCATTGCCCCCCACCAAACACACACCATTCATTCCTATTAAATACTTACTTGGTGCAGAAATATGGGGTGATGTGGTGGTGCAAAGGTTAATGAGACACAGATTCCCTCCTTCAAATTCACCCTCTGATTGGGAGAGAAGGTATATTTGGACATAATTACAATACATGGCAGTGATACAAACAGAGAAAAAAAATTATATAGTGATTATATAATTATTATGCATCAATTTTATTGTATAATTAGGTATTACATATTAATAAATACCAGCATACATCAATAATTAGGTAATTATATATTTTAATATCATTATAATATTGTATTATATGAATATGATTAACTTAAATATAACATGTAATATGTTATATACATAAACACAGAGCAACTGTGGGCTGAGCCCTGTGCTAGGTATGTCCACATTTCATTTAATATTTAATCACAACAGTATCTTTTAACAGAAGAGGAAAGGGAAGTTTGGAAAGATTACATAATTGGCCCCAGTTCACATAGCTATGAAATTGGAATTCCAAAACTGGAACCGGAATTCAGGTTTTCTGATTCCATCTGTATTTCACTTACCCTCACCAGACTTTTACTGAGAGTCTACTATGTACCCGGTGCTGTGCTAGGGGTTCAAGGTGCAAAGATAGGAGACTGCTGTCACTGGCCTCGGGGTTCTCATTTTGTAGGAGACTGGGTATGTGGAAAAACAATTCGATTACAGTACGATACATGCAATAATGGAAGCGTGCACAGATCGCCTTCTGAGCAAAGCAGCAAAGACTGTTCATTGCTCAGGAGCCCTGCTTCCTGTCATGCAACCCTGTTACTTGGCCATGACTGAACTGCCCAGAAGCCTGCAACTTGGCCAAACACAACCAGCTTCAGGCCTACCAGGGCCTCTGGGGAGGCCTAGTATCGTCATTCTGCCCAACAGCGGACTCGACTTACTCACCCAACCGACCACCTGTCATTGACAGTTTCCACGGTGAGAAACCCAGAAAACTAAAGCACCAGAGTAAAATTAGGGAGAAACAGAAGCGGAGGTGAAAGGTGAACTGGTCAGAAGCAGAAGCAGGGAGTCCAGAGAGAGAGAGGAGCTGAACTGTGAGTCTGGCATCATCATAGGAAGAGCCAAAGGTCTCTTCTCTCAGGGCAAGTCTGTTTTTACCATTAGTTCCTTCCCAGGGTTCCAGGGCTCCCCGGGGCTGGACTGTGGAACTGCCTGGCTGATGCCTGTGCTTCCTGCTGCCTTACGTGTCCTTATGTCACCAGAAGCGTCTGAGCTCAGCCAGGACTGGGATCCTGCAACATTGAGCCTAAGTCCTGCGGTTCTGACTTGGCGCCGAGAGCGCGGGAGGCGGGGGTGGCTGGACGGGGGGACTCAGCAGAGGCCTCACCAGGAGGTGACGCCCAAGCAGAGTGTTGAGATCCACGTAGGAGTTTGCCAGAAAGACAGAGGTGTGCAGGGTGCTCCAAAAGTTCAGTGTTCCTTCCATCACTGAGCATGACTGGTGGCAAAACTGTAATGTCTTGGTTCTCCCTCCAGGGAAGTGACCAGAAATTCTCTCTTCAGGAACGCCAGCTTAGAGAGAGGGCGGTGGGAAAGGGGAATTTTCTTGCTCATGGAGGCTCTACATCCTGAAGCCTGGTGGTTCTGCCCAGACGCTGTGGCTTCCAACACTGGCATATTCTTCTCACCTGGAGTATCTGTACCTTTAGGAGTGTGAGGTCCTGAGCCAAGCGACAGTGTGAAACTACAGGATATATACAATGACTCTCCTTGGGGTGTCATTATCACAGACGATTCGGGAGGAGAAAAGTTTGCAGTTTTTACAATCGTGACGTTTTTGTCATATACAAATCAGTGTAAGCCTCCTTTTCCATGTTGGCTTAAATTTCTTTATTTTTGCACTAACTTGCCTCAAAGCCTATGATCCAGCATAGAACTGTACTCAAAGAAACACAGACTCGCCCTTGCACTGGTAATTACAATGTTATTTCTATATAAAAATAAACTCTGATCTAGTATGAAGTGGTAGGCAAAATTTGTACCTATTTTAGAGACAAAACACAAGACTTTTGTGAAGTTTCTGCTCCAAGCTACGGCCTTCAGACCAACTGGATTTATTTTGCTCTGACCCGAAGAGTGTCATGGAAAAGTTGGAGAAATGCTTTTTTAGGCTGTTGCCTCAACTTCCTAAATTGTCCACCCTATTTAAGTTCTACCCATTAAAAATTCACGTAGCTTGATTTTTTTAAATTGCGGTGAAAAACACACAAAATTTACCACCTTCATCATTTTCAGTGTACAGTTCATTAGTTTTAAGTAGTCTTTGCTGTGCAACAGAGCTCTAGAACTTTTCCTCTCACAAGACTGAAACTCCATGCCCATTGAACAAGTCCCTACTTCTCGCTCCGCCCAGTGCCTGAAAAACACCAGTCTACTTTCTGTTTCTATGAGTTTGGCTACTTTCCATTCCTCATACGGTGGAATCATACAGTATTTGTCCTTTTGCGGCTGGCTTATTTTACTTAGTGTAACATCCTCCAGGTTCACCCATGCTGTAGCAAGTGATGGGACTTCCTTTTTAAGGCTGAATAATCTAACACTATATATATATATATAATGACTGAGCCACCCAGGCGCCCTTAGGCTTTCAATTTCTTCACACCCTCGCAACATGTGCTGTTTTCTGGTTGGTTGGTGAGTTGGTGGTGGTTGTTGTTATTTGATAGTGGCCATCCTAATGGGTGTGAGGTGACATGTAGGTTGCTTTTAAAGTCTGAATTCCCTTGAAAGTGGTAAGGGTATCTGTGAATCTTCATGCCTTGTAGTAAACTTTGACCTTAGCAACCAGCTAAGGTCATTCACTGAGTACATGGTATTTAGATGTAAGAGAAGGTGTTAGAACACTAGAAGGAGATCCTAGATCTCCTCAAAAATGATAAAGCATTAGGGGGCGCCTGGGTAGCTCAGTCAGTTGAACATCCCACTCTTGGTTTTGGCTCAGGTCATGATCTCAGAGTCATGAGATGGAGCCCCACATCGGGCTCCGAGCTCAGTGGGGAGTCTGCTTGAGATTCTCCCTCTTCTTCTGCCCCTCCTCATGCTCTCTCTCAAATAAATAAATAAATAAATAAATAAATCTTTAAAAAAATGATAAAATGTTAAAACTGGAAGCCTGGGGAGTGGAGGCTACCTGAGAAATCCCACAGAGGATATTTTCCTCTCACAGTTTTTTGACCCTCAGGACTTTTTTCTTAAATGAATACAAACACTTTCATCAGAATTATTCCAACATTTCTGAGAATATCATCAAGAACTTATTTTCTAGAAACAACTCTTTTGAGTTAATTTAATTCTTTGATCAATTTCCTTTTTACTGTGGAGTCACATAATTTTCAGTATTTGTATTTCACTGAAATAATTTGGATTTAATTCAATGATCACATTTTGTACTTGTATTAAATTTTCCCAACTTTGGCTTCAGCAATTTTGAGTTTTCTTTTGTGGTCATTTTCTACCAAGTCTAATTTTCCTGGGTCAGGTTTTATAGGTACAGTTTTTGACAAGATGATTTGATTTTTTAGTCAATTTTAAAAGTCAATAAACCCGGTTTTGAGCAGGTTTTGCCTTTGTCAGTTTTATTTTGTGTTATTTCTACAAAATGTGATTTTAACTGGGTCAATTGTTGTAGTTTTGAGAATTACCAAAACAATGAGATTCTTCAGCTCACTTTTTGTCATTAATAAATTTAACATATATAGCTTTGGCTCTCCTGATTCAAATCTGTGTTGGTTATTTCTACGATGTCTAATTTTTTTTCTGGTGCCCAGGTTAAAGTGTACTTGGAGTCAAAATACCAAGGTTGCAACATCTTGTTTTCCTCTAAAATTGTTCTGATTAAAAAATCAAAAATGGAGTGTCACTCCCGAAAGCCCCCACTGTACGGTCTCCTCACAGTCTTCCCAGGGAGCAGAGGGCAAAGGAGTCCTTTGATGAGAGCCCTACTGGTCAGTGTTCCCAGGCAGAGACTTGAGTGAGAAGGGTGGAGAGTGACAGTGGCATGGACTGCTCCCTCAACCTGTTCATGTATGTTCCAGTGAAATCTGTAACTAGAAAAGGAGCATCCAGAGAAGACTTAAAGGGCCGGGGGTCAGCAAACCTGCTTCACCCCGGATGCAGAATGAGTCAAACGCATGTAAGCTTTGCTAATTCCAGATGATGTCACTGGTGACAGCACCTCTCTCCCTGACACCCAATTTCTGAGCCATGGCTCAGGTCCTGCAGTGGCTCTGGGTCAGCGGAAGCCCGGCTGGATGGATGAGCTCACTTTGCTGGTCCCTGGGAAGACTGCAAGGAGATGGTACAGTGGGGGCTTTCGGGAGGGCAGAATGGAAGCCCTTGGACATGGAGGGAGTTTCTAAGAACAGAGCATAGCAGGGAGGAGAGAGAGTGGAAGGGGGTGCCAATGGCCGGCCGGGCCAAGAGGCAGACTTGGGCTTACACAGAAGGCGTGACAGTGGGAGCAGGGTTTATAAGGCACTCTGATGTGCTTTACATAAGAGAATGCCGCCTGTATTGCCTGAGATACGGGGTATAGATAGAGATACTGCTGGGCCTGTGGTGGGGGGCACTGGGCACACTCCCCCTTCAGAATCCTGTAGCACAGTTTTGTCACTGAACACATTTCTACTGTAAACACCATTGTAAATGGTGGGTTTTCACCTTAGCTCAACTTGTAGAGAGGGAGGGAAAGAGAGGGAGAGCAGAGAAGAGGGCAGAGAGAGGCTGATGAGACAAGTTGGCTCTGGTCCTCACCTCTGGTTCAGCCGGTGATTGCTGTTGGCGGGTGGCTGGGTGGGGAGGGGTCCCCCACAGGCAGCAGGAGCAGAGAAGGCTGGGGACCAGGCGGGAACCTAGAAACACGTCTAGTACAATCATGCTTTGCTTCTTGTCAGCGACACGATATGTATTTAATATAAGCCAGTGGCAAGTAGTCTTCCTTTCATTATGTACCCGGGGCAGCCCCTGGAGAGAGAGGAGTGGGTTGGTCAGCAGAGGGAAGGGAGATCAGAAAGTCCTTTGAAGGCCATGATCTCTCCTCACTTACTTCTAGATGTGGCAGCCACCTCGATCAGCATCACGGGTTCCAAGCATCCACCAGAAGGGAGAAAAAGGGAGGTGGAAGGAAAAAGAGAGACTGGATAGGAGAGAAATACAACTGATAAAAGTAAGCTCCTTCTAGGAAGAATTCTATTGTCAAGCTGTTCCCTGAGGGAACACGTCCTCGGAGAGGTATGAAGTGCATTCCCCTTTCCTACTGTGGTGTGTGTGTGTGTGTGTGTGTGTGTGTGTGTTTTCTTTTCCTTATCCCTGTGAAAAAAAATCTGTTAATTTCGTATGACAAACAAAATGTATCTCTTTTTCCTGAGTACTCCATAATTGTATAGAAATGTGTATCATTTCCTCTCCATAATTTTGAGAATATTTTTGAAGACAGTGACATATTCTGACTCTTTAAGAACAAAACAATTCAATTTAAAAATCACTGAATGACAGCAATCAAAGTGCTCAAGTGAGGCAGTTCGCTTCAGCACTTGTTCGAAATGTCATTAGAAAACCGACATATAGCGGGTTGTTATGGCAACTAGAATAGCCGAGTTTATAACATCACTGTAATTAACGTGATCCAAACGTTATTAATCTTTCAACATCACTCACATCCTCTGAAGGAACAGCAGCTCTGGTCCTCTTAGGATTTTTCAATGGTGTTATCTTTGCAGCTTTCTTCCCATTTTATTTTATTTTCAAATAGATCTTCCTCTGACGTGGCTTTAGTGAAATTAGCTATTGTTTCTCTGCCTTTACTCATTCTATTTTGACTGCTATTTTTTGATAAATCTTGCGATAAAACGGAAGAAAAGGAATCACAGTTAAAAACCAGAACAAAGTCTAGAGATGAAAAGATATACACATTTTATGTGGAGAACCTGAGAAAAATATTAAAATACTTTGCATATAGATATTTAGTATTAACTCACATTTGCATAGCACTTTATAATTTTTAAAGCAACTTTACATACATTATTTAATATAACAACCCTGAGAGGACAAGTAATATTTTTGGGGTGCCTCCTATGTGACATTAAATGTGATCTGTATACATGAATGTTTTAGATCTCACAACAAACTTGCAAGGTAAGTGTGGGTTAAAAATATGCCTTCACAACTTGACAACAAGAACCCAAAAACCCGATTAAAAAATGGACAGTCTTCAAAAAAAACATTTCTCCAGGGATGATGTATAGAAGTCATCAACAAATATAGGAAAAGATGCTCAACATCACTAATTATTACAGATATGCAAACCAAAACTACAAGATATCCCCCTCACATCCATTAGGATGTTTATTATAAAATGAAACAAAAAAATAACAAGTGTTAGGGAGGATGTGGAGAAACTGGAACTCTCGTGCGCTTAGGTAAAACTATAAAATGGTGTAGCCACTGTGGAAAACAGTATGGTGTTTGCTCAAAACACTATCCCAGCAAATGATCCAGCAATCCCACTTTGAAAAAGCAGAGTTTTGAAGAGATATTTGCATACTCATGTTCACAGCTGCATTCTTCACAAGGGCCAAGAGGTGGAAGCAACTCAGGTGTCCATGGACAGATGAGTAGATGAACAAACTGGTATATCTGTTTGATGGAAGATGATTCAGCTTTAGAAAGGAAATCCCATCACATGCTAAAACATGGATGAACCTAGAGGACATTGTACTGAGGGAAATAAGCCAGACACAAAAAGACAAATACTATATGATTCCAGGACGTGAGGAATCTAAAGTGTCAAATTCATGGGAACAGAGAGTAGAATGGTAGTAAAAAGGGGCCGGGAGAAGGGGGAAATAGGGAACTGTTTCATGGCATAGAGTCCAGTTTTCCAAGATGAAGAAGTTCTGGAGGTCTGCACAACAATGTGAATATTCTCAGCATTACTGAATTGTACATTTAAAAATGATTAAGATGGCAAATTCTACATTATGTGGTTCCCCCCCCAATTAAAAAAAAAATTGCCTCCAAGTTGACAGTCCTTCCTTGAAAAGGTGAAGCTAAGTCCTCTCCCCTTGGATGTAGACTGGATTTAGTAATTTGCTTCTAGTGACTTGATGTGGAAGAAGGGACAAGGTATGACTTCTAAGACTAGGTCAAAAGAGACATTGCTGCTTTTGCCTTATTCTCTCTCTTTTCTTTTTTTTTGGGGGGGGGAAGTGGGTCCTCTAGCCCAAGTCAACCTTTACACGACTGTCACCCTGGTTGATACCTTGAGTGCAAGCTCACAAGAGACCCCAAGCCTGAAACCACCCGGCTCAGTGGACTCACAGAAACTGACCACACAGAAACTGACATAATAAATGTGTATGCTGTTGTTAAGCCACTAAATTTGGGGGAATCCATCACACAGCAGTAAATAACTACTACAATAAATGTTTTCCATTAATCTGAAGCATTGAAGATCTCTGATGTGTTAGGAGGGCTCCTCACCCTTTCTGTGTTGATCTGTGATTTTGCCGATGTGGCTGGAGTCTATTCTGAAAGAGGCTCTGGGTCAGAATCAGAGGAGTGCCTTATGTGAATTATCGGCAAGCCCAGCCTTACGACCAATATTGGGGAACCGGCTGTCCTGTAACCCAAGGGCTGCTAGATTTCTTTGAGCTCCTTTATTTTCTCTCTCTCTGTGGCATCAAGAAATAGGAATGCCCATGAGGTATTCTCATTGAAAGTTCAATCACAAGTGAACTGGCGAGTTTAGATATCGGAGGTCATACCCCTATCTCACACTATATTCAAAGAAAGTTTTTATTCTTTGTGGAAAAAAAGTGAAAGGGCAAAATAGCAATACATCTGAGAAACATCCAAAAGGCCAACAAGAAAGGAAAACTCAACATCGTCTTGAGGTGAACAAATGGGGTTTCATCTAGCAGTGTTGTTTGGGAAGAGTTTCTCCCCTGTTGGACCGCATACATTCTATCCTTTCCTTTTCAGTGTAGGAATCAAACTATAAATTTGTGGAGAGTGAGACAAGGAGGCAAATTCACTAATCCTGCTACTCTGGTTACCTGAAGATTGTATTGCTACCTATGGGTATCACCTTCTATTGTTTTAAAACAAATTCTCTTTAAGTGAATGAACTTGCTTTACTGCTCATATTTATGAACTCTTTGGGTAGGGAAAAGAAGCCTTTCCAGATTTTGAATTTTAATGCAGGGTCCGGTATTATAAAATAAAATGAATAAAGATAAGCTAATACAAAATAAAGACTTACACTGCTTTAAAAAAAAAAAAAAAAGCAATTGAAGCTCTCAGAATTTTAGTTTTATTTACCCAGGTCTCATAGCAAGAATGAGTGAGACGAAGGTTACGAACATAGATTGTTCTGCTTCTGAGATCTACCCTCACTTTCTACAACATGAAGGAATTATTACCTTCATTCTAGGGATGAGGAAGCTGATTTCGGGAGAGGTCAAGTAACTTACCTGTGGTTTTCCTGCTGGTTTGTACCAGAGCTCAGATCCTAAGTCTTAGTCCAATACTCTTACACGACTTCTTATCACTTTTCTGTTTAGATAATGTATTTGGTAAAGCTCTTGAGATATAAATATGAATAAAGTAATCAAGTAGAAAATATCCCCGTAGTGAGGAAACATGGTAGGTACATAAATTAGAATTGGTTTCTTAGGTTTCTAGTTGAGGATTTCAAATTTTAAATGAGATGGCGGTTTAAAAACTTCTTCTACTAAGCCATTAAACTGTTGAGGAAATCACTACTTGTAAGAGCCAAAACATACAATAATGTCTCATTTTTGTTTACCATGTTAGGTTTTCAGAGCACCTTTAAACATACCAGTCCGTGTGGTTAAGCATGATGTTAAATTTGTCAGTAGAGGAAGGCCATTGCAGGAGAAAGAGGGCTCCTCTTCCTAGTTTCAGAATGCTTACCAATCGGTAAGTAGTGGATGCGTGGGGACCTCCGGTGGTACACTGCCTCAGCTGTGTGCCCACACCACACAGTCTCTTGGTGACCTTGCACGGCAGTCCAGACCTGTGACCATCTTGATGTGACTCTTCCAATAAGGACACCGTGTCCTCCAGACCTCATACCTGCAGAGGCATCCAGCTTTCAATGCACACCTGCTCTCCAGCTTGGGCTCTTGGAGCCCTGAGGGTGGTTTCAGGCTTGCCTGGCAATGAGGGACCAGCTCTGGCCTGGGAAATCCAACACACTTTTCTTCATCCTTTGGCTGTGACCACACCTTCACCAGTGAGGTCTGAGCCCCGCCATGTTTAAAACTCTTTTCTAAGTTGGTTCTTTCACCCAGTCAAGAGATGGTTAATGTGTACTGTGACTAAAAACTCCGATGGACATACTTGCTTCCTCTTTTTGGTGTCACTTCCTTCAAAATGTCATCATTTGAGGTCACTCCCTTTCATACTTCACCAGTTGCTGGAGGGGGGTTTTGTCCCTGCTACATGGAGACTGCTGCCCTGGTCCCTCCATGATTTCATAGCAGCAGCATCTGCTTAAGCTCATCACTGCTCTTGGTTGGCTTCTGTATCCAGCCCCCTGCTTTTATTCCCTAAAACTTCTATATTCTCATTGGTGACCCACCATGCTTTTCTCAGCTTTGGTGGCCTTTGTTAAGAAATGGTTTTGACAAATAATACATTATATGTTAAAAAAAAAAAAGAAGATAGTAGGAAGGGAAAGATGAAGGGGGGGAATCAGAGGGGGAGACAAACCATGAGAGACTATGGACTCTGAGAAACAAACTGAAGGTTCTGGAGGGGAGGGGGTGGGGGGATGGGTTAGCCCGGTGGTGGGTATTAAGGAGGGCACGTATTGAATGGAGCACTGGGTGTTATATGCAAACAATGAATCATGGAACACTATATCAAAAACTAATGATGTAATGTATGGTAACTACCATAACATAATAAAATAAAATTAAAAAAAAAAAGAAATGGTTTTGAGCACATCAAGAAGGCACTGAGGTGGGAGGGACAGGTCTGGAGCTTGCTCTGAAATGTCAGATGTTTAGCTACAAGCTCATACTCCTCATTCACATTGGTGTTAAAACTCAACCAACAGAGCTAAAGCGAGAGAAAAGATGGTGGAGTGCGAGGGAAAGGGAATGTGGAAACCTGACCAGTAATAAAAAGATGGATGGGTCAGCACTTAGCCGTGGCACTCATCATTGAGGTCTAAGAGAGATGGGAGAGGAAGTGCAACACCACCACCATAAATAGGCTCATTCTATTGACTTAACCATAAAGATCAGTAACATTTGTTATTTTGTTAGCCTCTGAAATTTTTAGCAATAAAGTCCCTTAGAAACCCTCAAATGAAACTATAAGCTTGTTCAAGGGCAGAGGCCAGGAAAGAAATTTTAAGAACGTACTATCTTGCAGTGAAGGAGAGGAAGTCAGGTAGAAAAGCTGATGGGAATGGGACAGACACCAGCGGAGTACAGTAACTCCCCTCATGTTTGGAAGCCTGGTCTGTGGTGCACAATGGAGCGGGGCTTTGCCATCATAATTTCATCTGTCCCTCCAGCCAACCCCAGGCATGTTCCCTTCAAGGGCTTGCTCCTTGTTCAGATCTGTTCCAGCTCCAGGGACTCAAACTCAGAGCTGCCTCTCTTCTCCCCAACACGAAGTCCCTATCCTCCACATCTTTCACAGATACTTTCCTTATCCTCTGTAGATTCATGTTACATTTCCTGAGCCTTTTCTTTACCTTGATAATGACCTTGAGTCTCCTGATTCCTCTCCTGTTTTCCTCTTTATGATGCTTCTTTGGCATTTACATGCTTCCCCTACCAAATCTTGTCTGGAAGGTTCATCATGTCGGAGCTACTTTAACTCTGCAGATTTCTTAGCTGCTTGTCATCCATGCTGAACTTCATCCTTGAGTTATTCCTGTTGTCTGCTTTCAGTTAATATTGCTGCACCAATGGGACTTGGTAGAAAAGACATGGAAACATAATAACTGGGTCCATTTAATCTGTTTGGCCCTTCTCTTTCAGACCTTTCCTATGTGTATACTCTCATACACATGTGGCATTTCAAACTTACGTTTAAAGATTTTTTTTTAATAAAAATAGGATATTATATGCATTGCTTTTTTGTTCCCCCTTAAGAATATCTCCTGGGCATCTTTCCATGTCATTACACGTGTACTACTTCATTCTTTCTTGAACAGCTGCATAGTATTTCACTGTATGAATGGCTGTACTTTATTTTCCCAATTTCATATTTAGGTTGCTCTAGTTTTTTTGCTATTTCAAATAATGCTGCAATAAATAATCTTGTACATATATCTTTTGTGCACTTGTGTTTTTCTGCAGGATAATTTCCCAGTAGTAGAATTGCTAGTTTAATTGATCCGTGCATTTTAAATGCTGATAGATACTGCTATATTGCTCTCCCCCAAAAAAGTTATCTCATTTTATGCTGTTACCAAATATGAATGAGAACAGGGTTCTTCTCTAAATTAATCCTAGCCTTACCTGGGCTCTCAACGCACCTGGGGGTTCCTACCATTCATTTTTTACTGGTTCTGTATTTTATTGCCTAAATAACACTGCCAGGCCCCTTACATTTCTGAGACCCTTAATTTAATCCTGCCTTTCTGATCTCAGGAACCGATCTAACCTTCTCTTCTGCTGTCTTCAGTGTGACTACCATTCATTCTCTCACTTATTGCCTCATGATCTTGAGGTTGCTGCTGGAGCTCTGTAATCACATCTGCATTAGGAAAAAGGTGGATGGGGTGGGGGTGGGGGATGGTGCCAGTGGCATCCATCTCTTTTATCAGGAAGGAAAGCCTTCTTAGAAGGCTCCAGAAAACCTTCCCTTACATCTTTTTAGCCGTAACTGGCTCCCATGGCCATTTCTACTGCAAAAGGAAATTGGGATATTTAGTATCTGGCTAAATAGAACAAAACTGTCACAAATATGTGCACCAATATTGATTTATTGCTTGCGCCTAGACATGCTCCTGCCCAGAATAAAATGAAGGTTCTGTTAGTGTGGAAGAAGGGGAGAATGGATATTGAGTAGTAATCCACAGTATTTGCCAACAATATATATTTGCTCAATACATATTTGTTGAACGCATAGTATAAGAATAGGTCAGCAACCTGTCACCACACTGAACTGAATATAAATCCCTGATTTATCACTTAGTTATTCAAAGTCACAGTTTGGTTCTAAGTTACAAATGTTGGATATCTGCATGCAGAACTGTATTCATGTCCTGATGGGGGCTACAGAGTACACATCCCAGGGCTGAGTGACATTTTGTTCTCATTTGAATTCAAATCAATTTTGTCATCTCTGAGGGGCAGATGTTATACGTCAAACAAGTGACAGATTGCAGCTTTAATTTAAACAGCAAGATTTGGTTTATAACATACTTATATTTATTGGAGAAAAAAAATCCAGTGATGTCACTCAAGTGTTTTCTGGATTAAATAAGAAGGTTTTTGGAGCACCTGGGTGGCTCAGTTGGTTAAGCATCTGCTTTCGGCTCAGGTCATGGTCCCAGGGTCCTGGGATCGAGCCCCACATCGGGCTCTCTGCTCAGCGGGAAGCCTGTTTCTCCCTCTCCCACTCCCCCTGCTTATGCTCTTTCTCTCTCTCTGACAAATAAATAAGTAAAATCTTAAAAAAAAATAAAGTAAAAGGTTTTTTAATGATAAGGGAAGGAGAGGACAGCTAGATACTCACAGGTCCCATGACAGAATGGAGCAGATGGCGGTGGTCGGCACGGCTTGTCGGAACAGCACTAGTGACAGGGACAGGACTACAAGAGGGGTATCATGGTCGTAAGAGGGTGAGGACATGGACAGAGGAAGAGGAGAGGCCACAGTGGAGGGGGGTGGTATGGGTAGAAAGTGGCTCTCGAGTTCTCCTGGTCCTTTGTCACAGTGAGAATCTGTGTGGTGAGTCTGTCCTTGTCACTGGGTTGATTCCCACGTCCACTGAACAAGTGGTTAATGTCTGAGACTGAGTTAAATCATGAAGGAGAATCAGAACACCCAGAGCTGCACAGTCTCTGACTTTGAGCAGCGTGTCCTTTGATTTCTCTCTTCCTTCTTTATTGAGGCTAAAACACAGCCAGTGAAGTGCATGCAGCGCTTTAATCCTAAGTGCACAGTTTGGTGAGTTTTCACATACGCCTTCAACCCTGGAAGCCGCCTCCCAGACCAAGATGCAGAGTATCCCTTTGCGTCCTAGAGTCACAAAGGAGTTCAGCAGGATGAAATTCTGCTAACCTTAAAAAAGGTATTTTACCTTTTTTAAATCACTATAAGTGAACTCACAAACTCACAACAGGCTCAGGCAGCCCAAGTAAGCGAGTGGAATTGATGAGGTGGACGCCGCCACAGTTAACTGAAAGTGACGTCGGGCTTCGAATATTTTGCTGTCAGAAATACTTCCTATGAACAGTTTTGTAACTCAAGTTATTTTTCCCATTTTAGGAAAGTCCCTTAGGATAGATCTCAAGGAGTATACTTAAAAGATTAAAAAGAAAAGTAAAATCATTTAAAAAACTTTTAATATACACTGCCGAATGTGTGGCAGCCACGGGAATGTGCCCACAGTCCTCCAAACACAGGGGGCAGAGGTAACCACGGGTCTGTCCATGGCCACACCTCCATGGGCTTCTTCTAGCCCATGAGCCGGCGCCACAGAGATGCCAGAGCAGGCCTATTTCTGGGAGACACGGGACTCCTCTGGTGGCTGCTACTGGAGGGAGGACGTCCCATTGCCTTGCTGAACCTTGCCTTAGGCCACCAGGCAGGCGAGGTGCTCACACCAGCCTTCCTTCCCTCCGTTGGGGGGTCAGATGGCCATGGGCTCTGACAGCTCCCAGCCTTCCTTGCTGTCTCTCTGCTTTCCCTCACAGGGGCATTTCCCCGGATAAAATTCTTGTACGCCTCACCCAGGCCTGCTATGCGCTTTGCTTCTCTAAAGACCCAGATACACACAGTTATATTTGTTTCCATTTGTTTCCCCAAGCGATCTACATGAGTGAGTTTTTGCTTCTTCTTTTTTTTTTTTTTAAAGATTTTATTTATTTATTTGACAGAGAGAAACACAGCGAGAGAGGGAACACAAGCAGGGGGAGTGAGAGAGGGAGAAGCAGGCTTCCCGCCGAGCAGGGAGCCCAATGCGGGGCCCAATCCTAGGACCCTGGGATCATGACCTGAGCTGAAGGCAGTCGCTTAACCAACTGAGCCACCCAGGCGCCCTGAGTTTTTGCTTCTTCTTTCTCAGCATTGGATATTTTCTAAATCTTTGCTACTTTGAAAAATGAAGAGAAGCGTTTTCCTTTAATTTGCATTTTTAAAAGATTTTTTAAAAAAGATTTATTTATTTATTTTAGAGATCGAGCGAGAGAGAGAGAGCAGGGGGAAGGGCAGAGGGAGAAGGAGAGAGAGAATCTCCAGCAGACTTCCCACTGAGAGCGGAGCCTGACTTGGGGCTCAATCCCATGACTCTGAGATCATGACCTGAGGTGAAACCAAGAGTTGGGTGCTTAATCAACAGCCACCCAGGCAACCCTAAAGATTTACTTATTTTAGAGAGAGAGAGAGAAAGAGAGAGAGAGACAGCACGCGTGGGGGGGTAGGGGCATAGGGTGAGGGACAGAGAGAGAATCTCAAGCAGACGCTCCCTGAGCAAGGAGCCCCACACAGGGCTCGATCTCATGACCCTGAGATCATAACCTGAGCGGAAATCAAGAGTGGATGCTTAACCGACTGAGCGACCAGAGCACTCCTAATTTGCATTCTGAAATATTGAAGTTTGACATTTTTGGCATGTGGTTTCCAGTCATCTGGACCATCTTACCTGGAAATTTTCCTTGAGGAGTCCATGGAAACACAGCACTCACTTTGAAACCGCCACCTTCTGGGAGGTGCGGTCTCCGGCGCCTTTCCTGCCAGGCAGCTGCCAGCGTGCCTCAGATTTCATCGGGAAGGTGCTGTCCAATGCTGGCTCCCACAGGACTGACGCATGACCCAGGGTGAGCGCCGGGCTGGGGGACAGGAGCACAGCCCGGTCAGTTCCTCTTGCAAAATATGAAGAGCTAATCCTGTGTTGCAAAACAGGGTCCCACACGGCCTCCCCTATGGGAAGGAGAAGAGACCAACATTTATAGAGCATCTACTGTGTGCTAGGAACTGCCTTTCTCTCATTTTACCTGACACAGCGGGTGTCATTTTCAAAATTCTACAGATGAAGAAAATGATGTTCAGAGAGTTGCCCAAGTCACGCTGGAGTGCAAACAAGGGACAGATCTAAGTTTGCCCGTATTCTTTCACTCCATCAAACTTCTGAGGCTTCTTGGACCGCAAGCATTTTGCATCACTCAAGTGGTTTTTCTACACTCTGTGTTGTGTGGCACCGCTATCTGCTTACCTAAACTGTAAGTTCATATCCTCCGTGAATAGTAATGAATGATGCTTTAGATGACTTAGGCTGATTTTCTGGAATTTGAGTCAGCTGAAGAATCACCCATGGCTTCCTCTTACAAGTGGACACCAGCAGTTAAAAGTGGAGATGTCTAGCACTCATTTATCAATCCTTACAAGGGATATCTTCTGAAATGAGATTAAAAAACCAACCAACCAACCAACCAACCAACAAACAAAAACTCTGCTTCCAAAAACTCACCAACCAGTGAAAACAAAAGCAGAAACACAACCCAAATCCTTAGACAAACAGGACCATTTTTAAAAATAAAATATTATATGATTCAACTCTCAAACCAAAGGATTTCAAGGATAAAGGAATCAAGTTTTATGTGGAACCTCAATTATGTTTAGGGTCATGAAAAGACACACTTGGCCTTGTCTCTTCCCAATTTGAATATCTGAGTGCTCTAAGTTCCCATTTTCCCACCCATGCCCCCTTGGTGTCATGTGATGAGCTAATAAGGAGAAAATATTACTGCATTCTCAGCTTTCACATCCCTAACAAAGCCTATATTTTAAAGCTGTTATGGAATTTTGCACAGAATCCAGGTTTAAAGACAAATTAAATACATAAAAAAACTAAGCATGACAGCCAAGTTTAGTCACCTGAGAAACAGCTACTAAATGCATCTCTTCAGTTAGGAACATAAGATAAAAACTTGAAAAAACTCACTACACTTTTGCTTTCAATTTTACTCTAGGCCTTATTAAAAACACTTTTGGCAAGAAATGTACTTGTATAATTTAAAGCCATCCTGATCAGAATGTGTTATAATAACTTGACTATGTAAAAAATTTGTCTTTTTGCTACTGTCATGGAGCTGATCTTTCTGACAGTTTCAGTAGAGGGGTTTAGGGTACAGGGCAGTGCTATTTTACTCTATCTTGAGTACAGGTAATCAGAGTTGGGGATGGTGGGGACTACAGGTTACAAGCACCCTCAAGACTTACGCTGCCTGACTATGCCCCTCGAGTACATGGGAGTCTTCAAGGAGCAATGGCTGCTCTTAGCTAGGTGACAGGCAGCCACTAGAATGCTTCACTTAATTACCCCTCCTTGAGCTTTTTCTTCTCCTTCTTTCCCCCTCTGCTGATGTGTTGTTCTGAGGACAACTGTCATCTTCTGCTTTGCTGTTACCCTGTCCGCTAAGCGACCTAACTAACTCATTACCTTGAGTTCCACCTCCTGTGCTATCTTCAGCTTCTATCCCTTCTCCTTGGGAATTCCATACCTTGTTGGTTCTCATTGTCACAGCTTCTTAATGGAATAGGATAAGATAAAAGATACCTGGTTTCCTTTAGAAACTGGGTGAATTTTAATTTCTCCCCTGTATAACAAGATGGTGTGTTCTTTATTACATTAGTGTGGCTTTGTGACGGTTGAAGTTAGCAAAGGAAGACAGGGGGTACAAAAAACTGTGAATCGTAGAGGCTCTTACCTCTGCTGCTAGACCAGGTCCTGTTCTTAGTATCTGACCAAGTTCCTTTTCTCCAAATCACAGGGATGGCATTTTCCTCTTTGGGGATTTTCTGAAAGTGAAAGCAATCATCTCAATCACTGTCATTCAAACACGATGAGATCTGAAGATGGTTGTTACAAGAGTTACACCAGCTGGGCCAAGCAAATGTAGCTGGCATGCTGCACAAACATGATATGTGGATTGTGATCAGAATACAACTTATTTTTTTCCTTTCCTACTGCTTCTCTAAACTCTGTTCCGTGGGGAATAATCTTCCCCTAATCATGGTTGAAAACTACCAACCCAGTGATTTTTCTGCTCCCTCATAAGTAATAGATATCCTACGGTTACTTTAAATCACAACCAGAGATGTGTTTTACAATTACAATGTCCAGGTCAGTGAGATCAAAACTCCACACCTGTTGATGGCTTTTCCCTTCTTTCCTCAGACAGACCTGTTTCTTCCTGGAAGTCCTCAGTGGGGAAGGGTGTGGTCCTTCAGCTCTCTAGCTTCTGGCACCAGCCAGAAGCTCAGGAAGCAAGGTGCACACCGGGTAGCAATGTTCTTATTTGGCTGGGGGCTCCCGAGCCCTCGAGGTCCAGTACGTAGTCAGTGCAGGCATCCCCGTGGAGGCCTGGCGCATGATTACTGCAGATTCTTGTTTCTCTTTGTGGGATTTTGCGAGGGCACCCTGTTGGATGTCTCTCTCCTCCAGGTCTCTTTACCTAGAAAGGGGTACCTTTCTTTCGGGTGATTTCCTGTGACTCTTTTTCTTAATTATTATATATTAGGTGCTAAGTCTCTGGCCTCTTCTTGAGATCTCTTAACCCCTCCAGGTGGCCCTATTGGACAAAAAGCCTAAGACCTGCTCTTCTCCCCCTGGGTATTGTTGACCTTAAAAGCCAAACTGCCGGTTACTTTACTAGCAAAAGATGGATTTATTTGGGAATGGCAGAGAATTGCAGTCTGGGACAAACAAGCTACAGCAAAACCATAGGCAAGTCCAGAGAACACAGGAGAGGAGCGTTGTTTTGTAGAGGAAAAGGGGACGTTGGGAATGCTGTCACAAACAGAAAGTCCATTGGAGTAAACTGGGAGTTGGAAGTAGAGTGGCTTCTCATTGGCTGAGTTGTGAGTCTCTCATGGGCGGGGCTGTTGGGGGAGGGGGAGAGATGGGAGGGAGGGGAGGAGGTAAGCCTCTCTTCCTCCTGCGAGGTAGTAAAGCAGTATCCATGTACATGGTCCATCTCTTCCTGTTTGGATCTGCAATTGAGGATGAGTGGTAGGGCGACAGCTCCCCCTTACGAATCTTTTGACTCCATTGTAGTGAGGTTTCCCATTATTAATTTTCACATTTTCCCCATTTTGATTAAGATCTTTCTTTGAAAGCATCACTGATCAATAGTCAGACTCTTTATATTTAGTGGTTTTGTTCCTCAGTGCCAGGAAGGACCTTTACTAGTTGTCATGTCCCATGGTGGAGAGAAAGTGCAAAGTGCTTGGAAACCACTTAAAGCCACATTTGAGTAACAAGGAAGGTTAGGAGGGAGAAAATCTCAGGCACTTCCCATCTAACGTCTATATTTTCTCAAGGTCAGACATGTTGGAGATCATCTAAAACCATTGAGCCAGCATCACCTTACTGGGTACACTGTTTCTAAAAAGTTCAGCAGTAAATAAAATACAAAACTTAAAATAATTATACAAAACAGAAGTAACGTAATGATTCCAAGTTATGTGAGGGAACTAAACCAGGACTCTGGGTCTCAAAGTAGGCAACTGACATATTTCTTGGCACTTACTTTGACTTAGGGGAGAAAAGTCCTCCCTATGAAGGTATACCTGGAGTTACGTATGCCTCCCAGAAGTCTGATCTTACAGCAGCCATGAAAGCAGAATCGTGGATCCTGCAAGAGTGCACTGAAAGAATTAATTGTGTGCATTTGGGAAGATACAGTCCAGATACAAACATGAAGCAATAGCTAATGAACTTTTTTGCAAAATGGTAAAACCTCCAAGATGGTTTCAAACAGTATTGCTCTGTCAAAAGAACTCTTTTGAACCAAATGTGTTATTGGTAAAATAGTCTCTAGGGTTGCACATTCAGAGACCATGAATTGGGTGAGAATCCAAAGTTAGTTAATAGTTCAGATGAAAGAAAACTCTTGTGAATGCTGAACCTTCTAATCCTTCAGAAAAAGCAAGTGAAAAATTAATTTGTCCCAGGATCATGAGGCTGTTTCCAAAAGGCCATAATCAAAAGAAGAGTTTTCCCCATTTTGCAAGGGTTTGAGAGATGCAGACAAGAGTCTTGTCTTTCCATGAAAGAGAGACAAAAAGCAACAGTGAGAAAAAGGTATACAGATCTGGTCCGCATATCTTGGAAAAGTGGTCTCGTCAGATGTCATCTGCTTCAATTCCTGGAAATCCTTACTTTCAGGTCACCAGATGGTGTACAGATCTAATCAGGATTTGGTGCTTTCTTTAGATGTATTGCGCGAATACAAGACTCTATTCCCTGGAGCTTGGCAGCACAAGTGTTGGTTTGCAGTTCCTGATAAGGGTCTTTCCGGAGGAGTCTCTTCCAACAGATGAAAAATCCAGGTTGTAAGATTTGATACATAAGGTCGTTGTCTCCTGGGAGTGCACTGTGAAAAGTCTGCTCTACCAAAGCATGATTATTTTTAATGGAAACAATTAGGCCTTTACACTATTGAAGTATATCTCTTTTTATTAACTGTGGGTCAGACAAGGCAGGAGCCAAGTGTGTTGGACATCCTGTGAATATCTCAAAGGATGAGAGTGCATGAGTTCCCAACAGGGTGGATGATGGACCAATGGTAATGCTTTAGGCCAAGATTTTGGAAAGTTTCTACAAATGTTGCCAGTTGAGTCTTAATAGGGCTGTTAGTGTGTGTGACTGAGGACCAGAGATAATATTCACAATGACAATGTGGTAAAACTGGTCAAATAGGTAATATTTGTTGAAGCACCTGACCAGTAAAATGGGTTCCCTGATCACTATGAAGTTCAAGAGCAGTTCCCCAGGTAGGGATAATCTTTTCTAACAGAAGCAGCATTGGCTTGTCTATAAGGGAAAGCTTTGGTCCCGTGAGAAAACATACGAACTATGACTAAAACATAATTACCCATGAGAGGGGAAAGTTGTATGAAATCCATTTGTATGAACTGGTTTCCCTGGGTTATAATTTGGACAGATGGGACAAGCAAGGTTGGCACTTTTTGCAACCTTATTAACTTTTCCCCACCAATATTGGTTTATGAATGCTATCATTTTGTCAGTAAACCAATGGTTTAATGTATGTACAGTTGTTAAGTATTGAGAATTTTAGAATTTCTGGGAGGGCCAGATTGTTATTTGGTCCAAACCAGAGTTCTCTTTTTATCAAGCCAGCAATTATTAGATTTTTAGTACTGGCTCTCCTTCTCTCATATCAATTTTTGGGTATCCCATCATTTTTTCCAAAATTATCATCTGGGAGAACATCCCTTTGGACCATGACAGAAGTTTGGCTATTGGTTTCCTTGAGAGCAGCACTTTTTTTTATTGTTGTTGTTGTGGAAATATCAAGGAGGTGGATTACTTTGGCCCCCAGGGAGTTGAGTCTGGAATGCCCGGGAACTTTAATAGCTAGAGCAGCCAATAAGAGTATGGCATCTAATAAATTTTGGACATAGAAACCATTTTTAATTTTTATTCCTATGAGACATAAAGATACCTCATTGTTTCTATAATATTCCAAAGCCGCGAACTACCCCAAAGGCATACCAACTACTGGTGTAAATGTCTGTGGTTTTACCCTCTGCTGAGGCACAAACTTGAGTAAAAACTCAGTCAGTTAGTTCAGTGACTTCAAAAGGAGTTGCAATAGCATAGCAAGCACCATATTTATCATTTTCATTCTTTAAATAAGAACCATCAGTAAACCATGAAAATCTGCATTGGTTAGAGGAGTTTCCTGTAAATTGTCATGGGGATTCAAAAGGTAACCTGTCAGCATTAAGCACTGGTGATGGGTTTGGTCTGGATCCAAATGTAATCCTTGTTTCAAGATTATATGCTCTAAGTATCTAACCTGAGTTTGAGCAAACTTCAAATTCTCTTTGGATACTTTGTGTCCCTCTAGGCCAGAAGCTTTAATAGGCAGATGCTGTCTTCCTGAGAAGATGTTTGAGAAAAGGGGAGCAGAGAAGTAAATCATCTTTGTATTGCAACAAAGTAGAGCCTGATGAAAACTTTGTATCATCTAAGGTTTGTGAAAAGTAAGGACCCTTTGTGAAACCGTAGGGCCTTACTGTCCAGGTGTACTTTCTTTCGCCCCAAGTTAAAGCAAAAAAAGATATTGACAATTCTTATCAACTGGAATACTAAAAATGTACTGCATGGATCAATTACAGTGAAAAATTTGCTTCAGTGCAAATGGATGTCAGTAGTACACAGGGGGTGGGAACAACAGAGTGCCGAGGGATTACAGCATTCTTTATTGCTTGGAGTTTCTGGACAAAACTCCATCCTTGGCCATTGGGTTTTTTATAGGTAAAAGAGGTGTGTCACAGGCACTAGTAATGAGGCTCTGAGCCTTAAAAGGCTTCTTTATTTATAGGGTATTGATTAAATCTGGAGAGAGGTTTTGAGGGATCTATTTGAAACTTGGTGGGAGATGCACTCAGGATTCTGCCAATATCAGTTGAAAATTTTGCATAAAGAGGATGGTAGCTGACCCGAGAGGAAGAAATGACCCGTGTCCCTAGTCTCAGCTATAGTGCTATCAGAGACAGAGCATAGAAAAGATGCCAAAGGGCATTTATTTCCCCTGGTTGGCGATTTTGATTACTATTGTCAAATTCTAGAATTATTTCCTCCTTTCGGGAGAAAGAAATTCTGGCTTGATATTTTTCTAAGAAATCTCAGCCCAATAAATGAATAGAGGCAAAAGAACCAAGGAGAAAATGGTGTGTCTCTCTCAAAAAGTCTAGTTTCAGAGAGGGGACTAGTTTCAGAGATAGGAACCTATTGAGGTTTATTAGAGACTCCCACTAATACTCCAAGGCAGGGCCTGGCTTTACAGCAGTGGGGTTGAGCCCCCAGAGTATAGCTCAGGTGTCAATAAGGACACAGAGAGATTAATTCGCAATCTGGAGAGCTGAGCTGATTGAGAGGGAGGAGCAGGAAGAGTCCCTGTAGTTTCTCTGAGCCCTGACATTGGGAATTTGGGAGGTCACCAGAAAGACTGACTAGGGGGCCACAGGCACCTGGTGCACGTAAATTTGTAACTTTTTTTTTTTTTTAATTCTCTGGCTCTTTGCAATAATAGCATAAACTAGACGGTTTTTAGTTTTATTTAGTGGCCTTCGTTTGCTGGAGTTGAAAAGTGAGAAGTTTTGCGGTCTTTGTTTTAAGTGCCTCATCTAGGAGGTGAGCGAGCTGGTTTGCCATATTAACTAAATCTGGAGCGGCAGTTTCCCATTCCAACCTGATCCTTTTAATTAAAAGTGAAAGATCCCAGTTCAGCCCGTTAATAGACATAAACTTAAATGCTAGCTGGGTGGATTCAACATGTAAAGGAAGACCAGAATTTTCTTTAAAGACAATTTGGAGTCAATTGTAATAGTTATGAAGAAGTTTGTCAGACTTTTGTGAGGAAACCTGAATTCTGTTTGTTTCAGCAGGCTTGGGAAAAGCTAATGTAATTGCTTGGTGAAAATTTCTGGCGAGTTTTCTAACATCTTGACTAAAGTTGGGGTTTGCGTCTCTAAATCCCCTCCAGGATGCTCCCTTTTAGCTAGTTTCACCCAATGTTTGGCTTGGTCCTCACCAACAAGCATGTGGACTAATTGATGTAAATTTGAGAAACCAAACTGGTAAGTTTGAATAGCTATGTTAAATTCTTCAGCAAATCTCTGGGGGTCCTCAGTCACTTAGAAAGCTCTTTAACTATGGCTTGCAGTTTGGCCTCAGTCCTGGGAACATAAGAAACTTAAGGTTTATTCAGATCCTCAGAAGACAACTTAAAAGAGGCAGGTTTTAATAGGGTCAGGAGAGGAGGGAGTGGGGAGAGATCTGGAGGCAAAGGAAAGTTCAGGAGAAGGAATGGAGGGAAATGGTACTGGAGGTGGGGTTTAAGCACATGGTGGCTGCAGACAATGAGGATGGGGAAGGGAAAAAGAGGACCCAGAGCCATTTTGACTCCTTTCAATCGTCTTGCTTCAGTTAATTTAGAAATTATATTTTGCAAAGAGGTAAACTTAGAACCCTGAAAACAGCTTCCAGGTGCCATTTGCAATAGGCATCCCACTCAGTTTTTGTGTTTGTTTGTTTTAGAATTGTGACTTTCTAATTTAATTTTGGGTAAAATAAGTTTGGGGAGATCAAATTCCCTATAATGGCCACTGAAGTTCTTGGCCTTTTGGTTAAGTCAGTTCACTTAATTAGAAATGCACATGCAGAGGTTTTTGAACATAAAACCAGCCAGAGTCCCAATTGGGGGGGGGGCACTCAAAGTATTTTGATGACTGAAGTCCCATTTCTTGGAGGTTTTTCTCTAGACCAAAGAGAGAGATTCCTAAACACCAGTTTCAACAGGAACAGCCTGGTTCCAGAAGGAATCAGACCAAAGGCTGGCACAGTTCCATCAGGAACAGTCCAATTTCAAAAAAAGAGTCGGAATGAAGGCCAAATGAGTGCTCTCAGACATAAAAACAAAACCAAAGCCTTAAAAGAGGTTCTGAACAAAGCCCGAAGAGTTCACACAGAAATTGTAAAGCTTGAAACCCAGGAGAAACCTTACTCTCAAACCCCAAAGTCAGTAAGAAAGCAGTGAGCCCTACTGGCTCTGTAGGTAGTCACCTGTTTGCTCACCAGCCTCAGGTTTTCTCTGGATCCCACCTCTGATCATCAAGTAAAGTTAACCTGAAAAATAAGACTGCTAGTTATTTTACCAGCAAAAGATGAGTTTATTCAGGGACAGCAAAGAATTTCAATCCAAAACAAGTAAGCTATAGCAAAACCACAGCCCAGTTCAGAGAACACAGGAGAGGAGTGCTCTTTTGTAAATGAAAAGGGCACGTTGGGAAGGCTGTTACAAACAAAAAGTCTGTTGGATCGTGGATCACTACATCAAAAACTAATGATGTATTATATGGTGACTAACATAACATAATAAAATAAAATTAAAAATAAAAAAGTCCATTGGAGTAAACTGGGAGTTGGAAGTAGAGTGGCTTCTCATTGGCTGAGTTGTGAGTCTCTCATGGGCGGGGCTGTTGGGGGAGGGGGAGAGATGGGAGGGAGGGGAGGAGGTAAGCCTCTCTTCCTCCTGCGAGGTAGTAAAGCAGTATCCATGTACATGGTCCATCTCTTTCTGTTGGGTGTGCAATTGAGGATGAGTGGTAGGGTGATAGCTGAGTCTTTTGACTCCATTTTAGTGAGGTGTCAACCTCTGGGAGATCAGGCTCTTCCCATTGCCAAAAACCTTTCCTGGAACCCCCAGTGAAGAGTGGGTTTGTCAGTCAGCCCTTCTGCTCTCCAAGTGGAAGTCAGCCAGGTGTCAGAACCACTCCATGGTCCACACTAGCTTTATCAGATTCAGGTACCAGCTGTCAGGGTCACCCAATTCAGAGAATACATTTCAAAGCTCTCCGGGAGGTTCCCTTGAAGCCCTTCTCACTCCTTGAGGTAGAAGGTTATACCTCTCATGTCTTCCCTGAAGGGGAAGCTGGGACTCACAGCAAGATAACTTCTGTCTTCAAATAAATGTTTTTACCAAACTCTTACATCCCTTTCTCTGATCCCCTTCTATATCTGTGATGTCATTGATGGGTCTTGTATTAGTTAGGCTCTCCAAAGAAACAGAATCAATAGGATGTATTAGAACACACATACACAAACACAGGTGCACGTGCACACGCACACACACACACACACAGTCTAGGATGCTCACACCAGCTCTCCATCTCTTTACTAACATCAGCCGGCATCAAGGTCTAATGGCTCTCTCAGCCTTCCTCGGCTCTCTCTCCATTTTTTCTCAAGACATTTCCCCTAATAAAATTCTTATATGTTTAATCCAGTCTTGGCATCTGCTTCTCTAAAGACCCAGATAAACACAGTTATATTTGCTTCTACTTATTCCCCCAAGTAATCTATGAGAGTATTTTGCTTCATCTTTGTCAGCATTTGGTAGTTTCAAACTCTACTACTTTGAAAAATGCAGAGAGTGTGAAAAGAGAAGCCTCGGATCCTACTGCAGGAGGATGAGATGGATTTTCTGCATTTCTGATGGGAAACTGGAATACATTTTTCCTTTGGAATTCTATTTATAAATATCGCTCATATTCTAATTTATTTATTGTTAGCATAGAACTCTATTTCAGGCACATTATGGTTAAGTGGTATCATGTGGGCTGGTTTGACGTTCTAAATACCTGGATGATATTATTTTGGGAAAAAACATTTGAAATTCCAAACAGTTGGCTCATAACTACATATGTACACACACTCTGAGCTGGGGGTGGCCTGTATTTATATTTAGTCTATAAATGTGGTAGAGTATAAAACATAGGCAAGAAATCAATATCATAACAAACTAAAGGAAAAAAATGAAGTGTGATCATTGAGATACTTCTTAGCAGCAAGTTGATATGCCAGTGAATTTCTATCTGCTTAAGTGGAGAGGCATCTTGTTCAAGCAAAATCTCATAGAGACCCAGTATGTAAAACAGATAAAAAGCAACATTGCTTTGGCTTCAGCAGAGACAGAAAATTGGCGCTGGTGTGCTCAGTCCACTCTACCTGTGTGTTAGCTGCAGGAGAGCTCCAGAGAACCTCTGGGTCTACAGAACACAGTATGAAACCAGTGTTACTGAACACTGTGTCTTGGGATGCTAAATAAATCCAACAGTCATGCTCAAACATATCCTGGATATTAGGGAGGCAGAGTGGGCACTAGCCAGAAATGATAATACATTTAAAAAAATTTTAATTCTAGTTTAATTAACATACAGTGTTATGTTAGTTTCAGGTGTACAATAGAGTGATTCAACAATTCTATATAACATTACTTGGTGCTCATCATGATAAGTGTACTTTTATTCCCCATCACCTATTTCACCCATCCTCCCACCCACCTCCCCTCTGGTAACAATCAGTTTGTTCCTTATAGTTAAGAGTCTGTTTCTTGTTGTCTATGTTTTTCTTTGTTTCGTTTCTTAAATTCCACAGAAGAGTGCAATCATATGGTATTTGTCTTTCTCTGACTGACTTATTTCACTTAGCCTTATAATCTCCAATGCAGGAGACTGTAGACAGAGAGGGAAGGAGAAGGCAGGGTATTTATCCTTCCTTCTCCCCAGCCCCAGCCCTCCCACTCCTCCTCTCCCCACCTTGGGTGAGATCTCTACCAGGGATCATGCCTCCTCTGGGATTCCAACTCCCCTAGACTTGTCTGCTATGGGTTTAGCCTCCACTGATACCAAAAAACTAAGAAATATTTATGAAAGAAAACCTTAAAACTGAGAAAACCATCCATTGCCTTAGGAATATTCCCCCTGAGAATTGGAAAGGGGGAGAAACATCATTTTTTCTTATCTTTAGCAGTAGAATACTCATCTCCCAAAGAAGCATGGTGTGAAAATCATGGCACCACTAAAACAAATTTAATATTTGACTTTCAGAGTCTTTGAATTATAATACATACCTGTGTTGAGGATCATTTCAGTTGGAATCTAGGGCTATTTTGAATCTCTCTCCATAGTAGCAGTGGTCTGGAGAGGTGTCCCAGGAATAAATGATCCTATAGGGCTGCTTAGGCCTTTCTCTGTAATCCAGCATTTCCCTAGCTGGGAAATAAAGTACATGATGATTCTTTGAAGTGCTTATGATATTAGAGTATTCTATCTTTGTTTTTCCCCTCATTTATATATGGGACCTATATTAACTTCATCTCTTGATTCTGGAAAGGGCAGGGACTAAAACACATTTAGCTTAATGTCTTAAGATACTGAGAGCTTTTAAAGAGAAAGTAGGAAGGGATTGGCCTTCTGAGCAAACAGGTGCAAACAAAAGGGAAAAATTGTAGCCACTAGATGAAGAAGGACGTTTTCCTCTTCTTTCCTTATTCTGAATGTCATTTGTGACGTTGACTAGAAAGACCATATGCTAGCTCCCTTGGCATCAATAAAATCTCCTAAATTTTGTGAAATGAACTTCTTTTTATCTACTTGTTATTTAAGTCAAGACTTCAAAGGCTCACATCTGTTGAGCAGGTAGTCCTGGCCTTCATAATAAGGGATTTCGTATATTTTTGAAAAAACAAAAACAAAAACTACTCCTGAGACCAGATACCAACTTGTCTATATTTAACTGATGAAAATTAGAGGAAAAATTCTCTTAATTTTGATAAGAAAGAGCAAGTCTAAACTTCTGGTATCACTCTTGCCTGCCTAGTGTTGCCATAATCTGGGTACTCATCCCTCTGGTTCTGTGGCCCAGTCCCTGAACCAAGGAGAATGAAGCTTCAGACTAAGCACGGCACCTTCTCTCCACCAGTACCAACACGTGGAATCAGAAATGACCCTGTGGACCTGGGTGTGCGGTGTGCTGTGGGCTCTTTGCTTACCTCTACTGTCTGTCCTAGGCCTGGCTAGGATTCTGCTCTGGTTCCCGATTCTCTGCTGAAACCAGAGCCCTGCCCTGAGTTCAGCTGTTTGTGCAAGGCTGGACTTAAGGTCTTGTCTGCTCTCTCTCCTTGGCCAAGGTCCTGCTTCAACCAGATGAACACCTTTCCTGCTTGTTCCCAAAGCAAGATGCTGCCCTACACTTAGAGACCAGGGTGCACCACTGACCTGAGATTGCCTACTTGCCAGATTCCAATCTATAACTCAGTTCTGTGGGTATCTGTTCTCCCTGGGACATTGCAGTGTGGACCGTTGGCCCTCCCTCTGGGGACACTTCCTATAACCTAGTCAGTTCTCTCATCAGCCGGCCTCAGTCATTGTCTCTCTTCTTGACCGAGATTAGCTTCTCAGCATGGATTCCCAGGCTAATGCCACTCTATGCCTGACAACTGAGTGGCCGGCGATATCCAGCTAGTCAAGAAGAGATATACTATCCAGATTGATAGGCACTGGTATCCATTTATATATGTATATAGAGTTTAAATGTGTGTGTGTATACATTTTAAAATGGAAATACCATTTTTTCCCTGATAGAATGAGTTTATTGTAAAAAATTCAAACACAGTGAATGTGTAAGTTCCCTTACCCCAAGTCATCCCTCTGATTAATCATGTTAACAGTGTATATTGATATAATTCTCCCAGACCACTTTTATGGAAATATAAAAATAAATATGTATTATTTATATTTAAATATATAGGCTATATATTTAAAACAGAACCTGGATTATAATTTTCTATAATCTGTTTTTCATTTTAACTTTATCATTTGTTGTTGGACATCAGCCTGCCTTCATTTTAAATCTGGACTCACTTTGTTTGGCCCAACTTCAGAGTACTCTGTGGTTTAAGTACAAAGGAATAATTCTTCCACTCTTTTTATAGTCTTTTGGGGGGGCATGTTTGTTAAATTATTTATAGTGATAAGTTTTACAGAAATAGATGTTTTTTATTGAGACCATCAAAACCTTCAGTGCCTTAATGATTCTGCTGATTAAGTGGAAAACACATGAAGACATGTCAGCCTGTCAAGCAAAAGAAAATGCTCTCTCTCCCTAATGTAAATGGATCATATAAAGGCCTGATCTCCTGCTGCATCAAGTTATGGTGTTTCATGCTCTAAAGACCAGGTAGGTATTACTTTGCAGAGTTCTTATAGAACGTTGGACTTTTAAGACGAAGAACCAAATTTTAAAACTGTCATAAATCTGAGTCTGGCTTTCAGAAGGCAAGAATG